CCAGCACCACCAGGACCATAGCCAAGACCACCTGGCCCAGTACCAGCACCACCGGGACCATAGCCAAGACCACCAGGCCCAGTGCCAGCACCACCTGGACCAAAACCAACCCCAGAGCCAGGTCCCACACCTGTGCCGAGGCCAACTCCTCCGCCCGGTCTCCCGCCTCCAAGGCCTCCAGCTGTCCCAGTGCCTCCACTGCCTGTAGAGATTAAAGTCATTTTTAATGCTATTGAATGCATCCACTTTGTATTTACCAGGTTACTTAGGTATTTTACAAAATGTACAAACATGTCTCACCATATTTGCGTGCTTTGGCTGAGCCAGGTCCATAACCTATGGCATGCAACAGTGCATAGAGTTACTATCATAAAAAATGACCTTTGTCAACCTAAATCATATTTATCAGTGAAAGGGAATTTCAAGGAAATAAAATGTTATTGTTGGCATAATGGTTTAAAATTTCCCAGAATGGCTATATATTAACAGAACTATTATGACAGATGCACCTGGCCCCCCTAAAAGATGCACTTCTCCAGACTTACTTAAACCAGGTATGCCACTGCTTAGTCCAGACCTACCTCCTGTTCCAACTCCACCTCCCAATCCAGGTACCGCTCCAGGCCCACCTCCTGTTCCAACTCCACCTCCAAATCCAGGCCCACCTCCCGTTCCGGCTCCGCCTCCAAATCCAGGTCCACCTCCTGTTCCAGCTCCACCTCCAAACCCAGGTACCGCTCCAGGTCTAACACCTGTTCCAGCGCCACCTCCAAATCCAGGTACTGCTCCAGGTCCAACACCTGTTCCAGCTCCGCCTCCAAATCCAGGTACTGCTCCAGGTCCAACACCTGTTCCAGCTCCGCCTCCAAATCCAGGTACTGCTCCAGGTCCAACACCTGTTCCAGCTCCACCTCCAAATCCAGGTGTGCCCCCTACACCTCCTCTTCCAGCCCCACCTCCCAAAGTTCCTCCTTGGCCAAGTACACCACCTCCAGCTCCAGCTCCAGCTCCAGCTCCACCTCAAGAAAACAAACAAAAAAAAACAGGTAAATATACACAAATATTAGTATTGAATATTTACCTACTAACATAGTAGATAGGAATGTATTATATCACTTTGTTTTTGCAACACGTTTGTTCAAAATGAGTTTGACACCTCAGCTAATATGACTGACCATATTTAGCTGCAAGTTTGGCTGGATTCTTCGATTTTCCTGCCCCTGTAATTGAAAAGATATATATGTATATATATTTTTTTTCTTCCTCTACATTTATCATTGACATCACGTAACACTACATGCAGGAGGAGACTTTATTATATTGCTCATTGCTGTTTACCTGATTTTGGCGATATAAGAGGGTATCCACGAAAAACCCCAGGCAGCTGCTGTCCACGACCACCTAAGTTGAGAAATACACCTTACACAGATACTCATGCTGTGTACTTAACTGCCACTTTGTATAATATTCATTATTCTTGATTATTTTTAATATTAAAGATCAAGTAATGCACAACATACAGTATCTGATTACAATAAAACACAGTTTGTAGCTATCGGATTTTATGACACTTACTGCCTGCTCCTCCTGGTCCAACACCCCCCTGACCGAGTACTCCAGCCCCTGCAAAGAAAAAGGCAACACTTTTTATTTTTAGGTATGTATGCCCTGCCAAGATGTGATGCTCCAGGATTCATTAACATAGAACACATTTATATACCAGTCTGAGGGCCAAGTCCAGATCCCGTGGCCACTCCAGGGAGAACACCACGGCCTCCAAAACCTGACCAGAGGAGATGGAAAAACAGCTTTTTTGTAACAACACAGAATCCCTCACAGTCATGTATTACCATATTGTTCAGTACATGTTTTCATAGGTTTGTGATGTGCGTTACAACATACCTTGTCCTGGTACAAATCCACCTTGATAGAGTCCAGGCACTCCAATGCCTGCGTGACACCATGCTCATATTTAGGATATTTTGCCCCGAACATGTCAGTGTTTCTGGTTAATTTTAAGCTTAAACTGAACTGGTGCTGCACAACATTAAGTAACAAATAGTTTTGCTCTTTAGTTGTTTACCTGGAACTTGTTTTGATGCTTTTCCACCACTCTTTCCTCCTGGTCCTACCCCTGTAGTACCAGTCTGTGGTAGCAACGGAGCTGAAACAGGATAAAGTCACATTAGTGGACAAAACATTTTGCATACAAAGTTTAAATAGAAACAGGACATTTTTTTTCATGTGAGACTTATGATCTACCTCCACCAGGCACAGCAGCTCCACCCGGACTTGCTCCTCCTCCTGGCCCCACTCCTGCACCACCAGGCCCGAATCCTGCGCCACCCGGCCCGACTCCTGCACCACCTGGCCCCACTCCTGCACCACCTGGCCCCACTCCTGCACCACCAGGCCCAAATCCTGCACCACCCGGCCCAACTCCTGCACCACCAGGTCCAAATCCTGCACCGCCTGGCCCCACTCCTGCACCACCAGGTCCAAATCCAGCACCGCCTGGCCCCACTCCTGCACCACCAGGCCCGAATCCTGCACCACCAGGCCCGACTCCTGCACCACCAGGTCCAAATCCGGCACCACCTGGCCCCACTCCTGCACCACCAGGCCCGAATCCTGCACCACC